ATTTTCTTATGATTTATTATAAGATTTACAACATAAAAATTGATTTTCCGAAGATCTTTTTTTTTTGTCAATTTCGTTCTTATTCTCAGCACCTAGCCCATATATATGTCAAGTTCAAGATTACTTGAATGCTAAAAGGTGTGGCATTTATCACGTAAGGCTACCTTTACTTTCTACTGTATAATATTGCATAACAAGACCTCGATTTAACGAAGCCCTTGAAACAACGCACTTGCACCTAAAAACAATGTCGAAGATATATGTCATATGTGCGATTTTTCCTTATATAATAAATGACACTTGTCTAATTGATACTGCTTCTTCTTTGCATGATTAACGACCGTCACGTTTTTTCTTGAACAAAAATAGTCAATTTGAAAACATGATTTATTATATGATGAAAATGAAATTCTTCAGACCGATGATATATTAAGTTTATTCTGATTTTTGTTTCTTTGTAGAAATGTATGGAACTTTAGCGATCACAACACCAAGTATTATTAACATTGAAAAAGCACCAACACCGTAACATTTTTCAGATCCTGCCATCCAATATAATCCGCACGCCATTATTGGACCTGCTGCACGACCTAATTGTCCGAGTGAACGATACATTCCTAATGCTTGTCCTTTAGCTATATGTTTTATATTTCCAGAATTATGTATTATTGATTGTGCATTATCGCTATTTGAAATGATATTCATGTTTTGTTCATCATAATTATCGTCACCGTCATCACATTGCATTGATGCTATTGAATTTAAACAGGTTACGACCGTTGCTGATGTGAATGCTAGAAAAGTGGCACCGACATAAAGACACAGGATTCCATTTGAAGTCCTTGTTAAAGCAGAAATTATAGATAAAGAGATCGCACAAGATAATACACCTTGAACAACGAGTCGCTTTTCACCAACTACATGCGCCTTACGTCGAACATATCCACCTTGAATGATTGACGATAATATTCCAATATATCCAAGCAATGTTCCATTTTGCATATTAGTGAAATTAAATAGGTCGAAGGTCAAAAAAGTGATAGTAAATTCCATTCCGGAAAAGAAAAAAAGAAATAAAAGATGAATCCAATTTAAATTTCTTAAATTTGTAAGACGTTGTAATACAGTATTTGTTTGATGATAAGAAATTGATGAATTTGAGTTGTGATGCTTATTATCATTGGACTGTAAACTTTGAGACTTGCGATAAAAGCCTACAGTCTCAGGAAGAAATAAATATAAATATAAAGTTTCAATAATCAACAAAATAAGTGCGACTAAGGCAGGCATAGAATAAGGATTTAATCCCCATTTAACAAATTGAGGGAATGTCTGTGACAAATCCTTAGAAGAAAAAAATGCGCCTACAGCAGGGCCAATTGTGAATGAGATAGAAAATGCTATTCCTACTAATGCCTATAAGAAAGAATATTTTTAAATTATAATTTGCTTTTCAAATACATTAATATAACAAATGTTTAATATACAAACCAATCCTTTAGATCTTGATTCTTTTGAAGTAATATCTGAAATTATTGCAATTGACAATTGAACATTGCCTTCGCTTAATCCAGCAACAATTCGAGACAATACAAACCACCCAAATGACTTAGAAAAAAGCCATATAAAGGTTGAAACGATGTTTCCGATCTTTAGTAAGGCAATATCAAGAATTAGCAAAGCAAAATCCAATAATAAAAATTTCCACCCGAAAGTTTCATCTTAAACTCATTGGAGTTAAAATAATTATCCGTAAACTTTTACATAAGACAAAAATTTATGAAATCATGATTGAAATCAATTATCAATTTTATTAAACTCCAATGAATTTAGGGAGTTCGAAACTTAAGTTGGAAATGTCATAAAAGCAACTAATTTTCCAACCATAGTCACTAACAAAGTTTTCCGCCTTCCATATCTATCAGAAAGAATACCGATAAATGGAGATGCCACAAACTGTAAAAAAGAATATAAAGAACCTAAAGCACCGCCGAGAAGTACTAGATCCCATTTCGGATTGCTACTCCCACCACCGATTAAATGTTTAAAGTTTTGTATTTGATGGAGGAACCAACTTAACAAAGTTGTCTAAATAAATTTGCAAAAATTAGACAATAATTGATGAAATTTCATTTAGAGAAAAGTTCATAGATTAATACCTCGTCACCCTGCTCTCTTTCTCGATAATCTTGTAATAGCCTGGGAAATAACGGCAGAATAATTGTAAAGGCCAAGAGATCTAGCAATAATGCTACAATAACTATTCGTACTGTTGATTTTGTTACTGGGGCGGGTGACAGCTCTTTGGTTTGTGGTCCAATATTAGACATAATTCGCTTCAAGTATTTTATTATTTAAGAATAAAAGAATGACGTTCTTGTTTTTATAGGAAAATGAGCGACCATGCACTACCCTATCTGCCAAGATTTTGGTGGCGTATTAATTATCAGAAGATCATTTTTCTCAAATTTGGTTGGTCGTACGTAATTAATTTTGTTACCATCCAAATACGTTTAAGCAAACCTCTCGTAATATATAGTATTCATGTTACAGGTTAGAAGTATTAATATGATTCTTAGAACCCTACTCAGGGTCAGAATCAATGTGTCCATATTGAGTTGACTTAAAGAACTGACTCTAATAGTTACTGGGTATGTAAACAATTAGAACACGTATTTCTTACTTGGATGAACTTACTACATAGAAAATTTTTAAACATTCATTTTTCTGCTTAGCAATTACCTTAATAAATTAGCTTATTAAATGATTTTTTTTGATAACATTACCAATAGACTTTCTCGTAAATGAGTCAACTCCCCATAAATGCATCCTCTATAAATGCACTTTGCCGTCATCGTTTGATCAGTACAATAAAAAGCGATCCGAAAATTTTAGAACAATTTGTTTGCTCCCTCCATAAGTGCACATTTCCCCCGGTGACATGCACTCATAGAAAGTTTGCTGTAATAATAAAATATATAAAAATGCACCCTGAGGAGCATAGCATATAATTTACGGAGTTTAAATTATTTTCCAATACATATAATTTAATGTTGAGTAGCAATTTTACGTAAATGATTTGGGTGGTTATTCTAGAGTGGTTAAATGCACCCCCTCAAGACCATAGTAAAAAAATTCAAAAATGTGCATTTAGAGAGTGCGTGCATTTATAAAGAGCAAAAATATAATATATAGGATTATTATGAGCTGGGACTAAACATACCGTGCATTTAAGAAAATCTTTTATTTCGGTAAAATCAGTGGCGCATTCAAGTGATCTATATTGTCTGTATTATGATATATCATCAAAAAATACACCTATTTTGTCTTTTGATTTCGAAATTTCAAAACTCCTACTTATTTTCGAAATAATTAAATTCTAATACAATCAATCACACGATTCATTTTAATTACGCCCCATATTTTCACAAGGATATAAGTGTGATAGTTAAACAAACATGAAAGATAAATCTATAGCTTAACGAAAAGTTCGACCGCTAATTTGACAACTATGCTGAAACATCCTAACAATTATATAGACCATTCTACAGCTTCTATTTGGTTAATTTTATGAGACAGAGAGTGGATAGCGTTAAACGAAGAATCAATTTCAAACGGCTTTAAATCATGCATACTTTAATTATAATGATCTTCCGAACAATGAGTAGGAATGCTACAATCTGGACATTCGTAAGCTGGCCTCTTTTGCTAATCCTTCACAAACTGGAAATTTCTAATTAACTCTATTTGAGATTTTGATAACGGACGGAATAAATTATCATTTTGAAGTACAGTTGTCCTCCTCTATAACCACTTATGTATCACCAATTCTAAACATACAAATTCTTAATACTTTTTTTTTTTTTTATAAAATATCTATATACAATCACAACTCACTTATAATCATTCGCATTCTTTACCACAGATAAAATATTATTATCTACTCTCCATCTGTAAAATCACATCTAAAATTAATTCATCTAGGAAATAATGTATAACGATACCAGGAACGTAGCGAAACGAAATGTATGAGTGCATAAACCGTCAACAAAATCTTAAATTTGGTCAGCTGAGAACGTTTCTCTACTAGCTTCTAATGTTACATAGTTCTAATTTGTTACAATCTTGAGCAAGTGATCACCACGATCACGTGATGATTCCCGTCCGTGATTTTGATTGATTGATTGACTGATCAAATCATTGTAATCAAAATCACACCAATCAAAATCAGATCATTATAATTTACGCTTACCAATTAAATGAAAAGACACAATTAAATAGCTAGGGCCTCTGTAACAGAAAAAGCCCTAAAAAAATATAATTTTGGATAATCAGATTTATTCTGTTTGAACCTATCCGAAAATTTAATGGTAATCTTGTGATGTACGAGTTTCCCAAAATTTAATCAACTTCCATTTATAATTGACTGTGACGAATTCATTTGAATCTTAAAAAACTTAGTGACTTCCAAGGCGATATGGATCTTTTTACTATGAAAAGTGTATATCGAGAATGGAGTAATGAGGTCATTAAAGGTATACCAGGAATGATGCAGTGAAACTATGGGTGAAATTACTCTTAATAAAAAGTCCTTGTTGAAATTGTTGAACTTATTTGACGTTGAAATTGTTAAATTAGGTTTTCAATATTAAAAATTAATTTATGCCAAAAATTAATTAAACCTAAGCTAAATCAAATACAATCAATACAGCCTAATCAAAATTCAATATGACTAAGGTAATAGTGCCTATATGAAGGTTAATTTCTTATAGTTTACAATCATTGGTGATTATATCAAGAATGACTATATCGAGGTTAGACTGTAGTTGTTTTAGATTTATATGTACTACTGGTAGTACACTGTACTACATTGTGACAGTTTATAACATGATTTTTTTTGCAAATAAATAAAAACTCAATTGAGCATAAATTTAATAAGCTTTTTGTTTTAATCCGAGACTTGTTTCAGTTATTATTTCAGGTTTGTTGAGTTATATAAGAATCAAATTTGATAGTAGATTTAAGATCATGTGAAGTAAATTTTTAATATAAATCAAAAGCATAAAAAAGGTTAAAAGAAATGTATTGTAATGTAATTAGGCTGTGTTATACTAATTAATAATTATAATATTATTATTTGATATAAAGCAATACCAGAATCCAATAGAACAAAAAAATTGCATGTGTAAAATAAAATTTAATTAGATTGCATTTGTAGTTGAATTTTTAATTTTATATATTTACTGTTAAAAAAAATAAATATAAGGTACTTAATACAAGCAAGACATAAAATTTTTAATGAATAATATAAACTTAGGTACTGTTATAACAAAGGCATAGACATAATTAAAAATAATAAAACTTAACATTTAAAAAAAGTTTTTTTTATTCAAATAAATTGATTTTAAAAAATAAAAAAAATATTATATTTTATTAAATATCAAAGAAGAGATTAAAGTTTCTGTTTTAAAATCTATAATAAAAGAAGTTATTGTCATTTATTCTTAGAAAGTATATAAAAAATAATACAACTTTCTGTATTAGTTTTATATAATGTTTCTAATATTAACTGTTTAACAATTAGTATTGATCTACAATTAAAATCTAAATTAATATTTCAGTAATTTGGATAAAGTTTCTATCAAATACAAATATAAATAAAAATAAAAATAATAAATTTGTAAAGTCTAAAGAGTTTGTTTTTTTTTTTTTAAATATTAACGGTGAGGTCATGCCTTTAACTTTATTGAAATTCAATTGAAGTTTTTACAAAGAA